CTGAGATGCGCTGACACATACAAGTTATACAGATTTAGTACAATGTATCTGTGTTGGTTGTACAGAATCCGTAAAGTAGCGAAATTTATACAGTTGCTATAAGTGTAGTGGCATGACATTTCTGTGTGTGTGAGAGAGTGTGTGAAAAAGTACCAAAAATACAATCGAAAAAAACCTTACACTTGAAACAAAACAATCAGACAGGTTGACTGATGAACTTTTTGAGAACCTGCTGCTGCTGCACATGAACGATTGGTAATCAGTGGACAGCAGAGAAGCAAAATCACGCACACATTGTCATCTCAAACATATGTTCGTCTACCTCACTTCTATGTACAATTGTACATTTAAATGTACTATGTATTGGATTGTGTTCAGTAGCGACAGTTGAATTTTTTTTATTCTGAATAAACGACCGAATTGAATTGGAATTGTGCATTTTGATTTATTTTTCCCATTGTTTTCTCATAAAATGTGATAATTTTTGTGGAAAACGTAAATTTGATGCAAAAAACCGTTATTATGATCCGATTATGATATAATTATCATGATCCGAAAATGATAATTATCATGATTCGATGATGATAATTATTATGATAAAATATTATTACTGATAATATTTTATCATCGGAACAACTGTAAGCGAAATAGCATGAGTCTTCGGCGTCCGAGGGATTAGGAACTTACGAGCTGGTTGAATGATGGCTCAATGGGAAGCCATCAATTTGTATACATAAGGGTTTGGGAGCGATAGACACATTATTTTTGCCGAGTTTTGGCCATGTCTAGATTTTACCATATAAAACACAATGTAATTCCACCGGCGATCCGAGGTTTTCATACAAACTTCCCATGTAGACGATCCGAAACAGGCAAAAATCGAAAAAAAAGTTCAAAAATTGAAAAAAATAGATTTCATGTGCCCAATCCATTGGTGTTATCACCACATCGAAATTCGCATTCCTTATCAATAAAATTATCATGCATTCCTAGAACCGAAACACTATCCAACAAGTATTTACAAACGAAACACTAGCGCAAACGTTTTTCAAAGTGAATCATGGAAAACAAATTTCATTGGAATGTAACACACGTTGTTTCACTTCGAAAAATTCTCTGCCGATGTTATACTTTAAAAAAATCATTCGTTTTTGTATCATAACGATATATTGTCAGAATATGTCTTGTTTTCAATCTCACCCATTCATATATACTGTTCACTCCAGCATCACATGCACCAAATTCCGTTGGTGTACACGCGCAGCGGTTTTTTCATTCCATCTGTATAAATACAAAAGTGATGTGTTCTTCGAAAATGGTTATTCGTTTATCATGCGACGTTTCATTTTTGTTAGGAACATCATCAGGCTGGGGAACAAAAGAATTTAAAATGTTTTCGAACGTATTCCATTTTTTGCTAGCAATTTACACAAGTTGTATCAGCTATACGTGTCCATCAAAGGAATTTTGTTATTGAGCTTCATTTAGTGTCTGAATATGATTACACTATGCAACAACAAGAAACAACAACAGAGAAGGGATCTTATTTACAAAGATTTTTGGGCTTACTTAATCCAAATCTGGCGTTAGTTTGTCCTGGCACGTCTAGTTTTGAAGATACGTTCATTGCTTTCCGTATCAGATTTGGATTAAGTGGGCCAAAAAACTTTGGAAATGAGTCTTCCCTTTTTGGGGGAAATTTTTCTTTGAAATTTCTTGCATAGTGTTAGTAGACCTCAATTCGTAAATTCCATAACTGAAAAATACCATTATTCATCAATTATACGTTGCAGTGCACGTGTCAGCTATTGGTAGATGAATGGTATAAAAGAGGCGCCACCGCATAGACGAGACCAAATGAATTCAAAGTATCTCTTCTCAAATTATCATTGTGCAACAGGTTAAAACTCTGTTTCGTTGGCAAATTAAAATGAATCTACTACACGGTTTGTTTTTGGTGCTATTTATCGTTGAATTTTCGGTAAGTTTTTTTTTATTCCTTTATCATTTTCATTTTTATCCAACAAAATGCGATGTTTCTATAGAATTGAAAGTGAACACGAAATTTCTTTTTCTAGGAACTTCAAGGAAAACGTAAGACAAATTTTGTTTTGTTTTAAATTTTGCTTTTTATGATTACAAGAGATTTTTCATTTTAAAATTTCAACTTTTTTTTTCTAATGTACAAATGAACAGATGGCTTTTTTTCGCAAGCTCTTCTCAAGGGCGAAGTAATTGAAAACATGTCACAGGCAAAGTTTGTAGCTGGAATCTATGCCCCTGCAAGTAAGTCTGCTTTAGAATAATTTTTATTCTTTTTTTCGTGTGAATTTTCTATTCAAATATTCTATCAATTTTGTGTGTGTTCATTTTTGCTTGTACTGAGACGAAACGATTTTATTACAGAATATTTGTATGCAATCAAAGACAATTTAACTGATGCTGATAGAGAAACGGAGATTGTATGTACCGCATTTATTCTGTCAAAAACGGAAATTATCACGAATGCCCATTGTGTGGCTGGCGCTCCATATATTTATGTGGTAGCTGGTACAAAAGTAGCATCAGACAAAAACCAAAAAATCAAAATCAAAGTCGAAAAAGAGAACATTGCATGGCACCCTCATTTTGGTCATTCAGGATTAGTCGGTCCATTTGATATTGCCAAAGTTACACTGAAAACGCCGTTAGAATTCAGCGATACCATTGGCAGTATCAAACTCGTGGACAAGGATTATAAATTGAATGACCCATCAGAAGTGGTCACTGTCTATGGGTATGGCGTGTTGAACAACATCGGACCAATGATATTGAGGCGTTGCGATGCGAACTATATACCTATTGTCGAATGGGCCAACATATTCAACCTAGGTCAGACTTTGTTCTTTACCACTGGCAAAGCTACGAACGATGGCGAAATTATTACACCTGGCGATTCGGGTGGACCAGTCGTTTCAAAAAAAAATGGCAAAATCGTGGGCATAACTACGGGTATAAATGGAACAACAGGTGGCCGCGGAATGTTCCTCCCAATCGCATCATTCCTTGGTTTTATCCATGATCCAAAGGTATCTAATCTCAATGCCCCAATTTGCATTTCCATAACGCAAACAAAATGTATTTTTGCTTTCATTTCAGAGCGTGAAACCACTTCCACCTTCGCTTACACCTAACGAAGCTAAATTTATAGCCGATATATCGGTACCGGGGAGTAAGTGTGCGAAAGAGGAGATTTTTCATGATTCATAAACCAATACTCATCCTGAGATATTTTTCTATTACAGAATTTCTCACCGCTACCAAGGAAGCATATGCCAATGCCGACGAAGATGTTCAAATACAATTTAATGCAATCATTTTGTCGGAAACGGAGATTTTGACCTGTGCACATCATGTGCACGGCGCCCCATATCTCTATGTAATAGTAAATAAACTATCAAGCAATGCGACAGAACTTAAAGTCACTGAAGACCAGATAGAAATTCATGAGAAATACGCATTGTCGGGATTCACATTTGACGTTGCCAAGATTACACTTAAAGAACCGTTGGAGTTCAACGAGAACGTTGGCAGCATCGATTTGGTGGACAAAGATTACAAATTGAATGACCCGTCTGAAATAGTCTCTGTCTATGGTGATATGATATTGGATGGAGCAGAGAGAACGAGACGTTATGATACAAAGTATGTGAATGGCGCCATTTGCAAACCGAAAGTGCACCCCTTATTTGATGCAAATCATTTGATGTGTTACACTTTAGATGAAAGCATGGGAACTCCCTCTACGTTTGGAAGTCCAATGATTTCTAAGAAGAATAACAAACTCGTGGGCATGACCATAATTCGTTATCCTGATCAGCCAGTTATTTTTCATCCGATTGCACCGTTGCTTGATTGGATCCGGAAGCCAAAGATGGGACGTAATCAAAGAGGAAGAATATAGACTTGAAAAAGAGGTTTCAGGCGCCTGAAAAAGCTGAATACCGTCTCTTTTATTGCCCCCCGTCATTTGATGTTCAACAAAAGAACCGAATAAATTTGAAAATTTGAGAAAAATGCATTTTAGTTTTCATTCGCCCATGCGCAGTTACGTGATTATGCAAAGTAATTGCGATATATGCGTATAGCACTGCACACTTTTTGTTGAAAAATGGCGAAATCTGCCGTAGAGAGCGCGCTTTCTTATGGACATTCCAATGGGGAACTGTTGGCGCCCTCTTGACGGTTTTTTTGATAACTAGAAGTGTTAGACGCTGTTTTACGGCTTGCAATGCACGTAAAAATTGCACGTAAGTGTGAGCGAGATAGCATGAGTTTTGGGCACCCCAGTGAATTGGTACTACGGAACTGGTGAAATGATGGCTCGGTTTTATTCATAGCGTTTTGGAGGCGATGGACACATTATTTTTGCCGAATTCTGCTCGGAAATGCGAGTTCTGGCCAGAAATATATTGCCGGAATACCAAAAGACAGCCAATGACATCTCTAAACCAACTTATTGAATCATCGAATATTTCGAGTGTAATGTTATTTGCAATGGCATGTAGAGTTTGAACTGTCAAATGCAATGGATTGAAACTATAAAGTGTGTGAGTTGAATGTACTAAGTGTGTGAGTTGAATGTATCGACTAATGTAGAGATCGGCCATATTGTTTCCCCTCATTCGGACAGAGAGCATTATTATACAGAAGCCACTGACTAAGCAACACACGCATTTGAACCGAAATAAAATAAAACTGAATTTTATCGTTAAAAATACCGATCATCGTGTTAATTCATTACAATTCAGAACTGGGATTCGATTGATAAGTGGACAATCTATTGGGGAAAATAGAAATTTCGTGGAAATATTTACAATTTCATCAATATTTTTGTGATTTTCGCTGTGCACCATGTCGAACATGCTACGCAGAGCTGATGTCATGCGATTGCTCCAAGAAGCGGGCGTTCAATTCGATCCAGAAGCCACGATGACACAATTGCGCCCACTGTACGATGATTTAATGGCACAGAACATGCAATTGCGACGAAAACAACCAGATGAAAGTGCGGTAATGTTGGATAACGTGGAAGAGCAACAATCACAGGACGAACAAAATGCACGGCAGCCGGTCGAAAACGAGTCACAACAGCAGCAAAATGTGCAACAGCAACCAATCCAAAGCGAGCATATCCAAAATGTGTCAGCGCAAAATGTGCAACAGCAGCCACTCCAACCTGTGCTTCTCTCCCATAAGAACTAATGTATTTGACGTGACAGTGAATAGCGGTAGCGCCTAAATAGGATCTGCGGCAACTTAAGGAACTATCAATACTTCTTGTTGTTGCGAAATTCATGACAACAACAACAAGTATTGATAGTTCTTAAAAATTCCGCAAATTGCGAATAGGCGCCACCGCTATCTTGCGCCGGTCAAAAGCACAGTTTGAGCCACTCCAAAACGTGCAACAGCAGCAACAGATTCAACAGCAGCAAATCGTGCAACAAAACTGGGCATTGCAAATGGAACGCGAAGAAGCAGAATTGGATCGTCAGTTGGCAATCATGCGTAAGAAACGTGAATTACTCGAATTGCAACGTGAATTACAACAGTTGGAAACCAGACGCATTGATTTAAAAGTGCTCGAAGCAATGATGTCAAAGTTCGATGGTTCAGACGCACAAGATGTAAGTAAATGGATTGCTGATCTTGAAAATGTGTTCGAAATGTTTAAATACAGTGAACGTGATCTACTGGTGGCCGCACGGCATTTAATGGATGGAAGTGCGAAACGTTTTGTGCAAATCACTCATGTGATGTCATATGTTGACTTGAAACGGGCATTGATCACGGAATACAAACGGGCATACACTGTGCAAGATGTGTTGAAGCAATTGAAAGCGCGCACGATGAAGCCAGATGAAACACCGCGTCAGTATGTGATTGAAATGCAATTTATCGCCAGCCGAGCAGAAGTTTCTGAAGCAGACTTGATCGAAATAATCATCGATGGTCTCAATGACTCTTCAAAACTGGTGTCAATGTTATACAGTGCCACAACCATGGTTGAGTTCAAAGTGTTGATGGAAAGATACGAAAAGAAGCGCAATGCAATGATGTCAATGAAGAAAGTGTTAATTCAACCAGTTGCAAACAGAGCCAAAGTGTTGATGACAGTTGCCAACAGTGGTTTTAATGCTTCAGTAGCCAGTGCCAATGTCAATGCGGGCGCGAATGTGGTGGATATGTCAACAATTCGTTGTTATAATTGTTTTGATTACGGGCATTATCAAAGCCGATGCACAAAGCCGAAGCGGCCAATCAACAGTTGTTTCGTGTGCCATAAAGTTGGCCATACCCGCCATGATTGCCCGGATAAGAAGAAGCCATCAGAAGTAGCTAATGCAGCAGCCGTCGCAGCAGCCATTGCCGAGTCAGAGGACCATGAAGTCAAGCATTTAGCCGAACAGTTGTCACATACTAATTTGGTAAGTGTTGCCTTCTATGAACAAGATAAGTGCACTGAATTAATTTCGCGTATTGCTCTTTTTGATTCTGGCAGTCCCGTTAGTACTGTGAAGAGGTCCTATGTGCCGTTTCTAGTGAACAAAAATCATAAACCATCGGGTTATCGTGGAATGGGCAATAAGACATTAAGTATGTACGGTTTTGTAAAATGTCAATTTGTGTTTCGCGAACATATTCTCACACATAATTTTCTTGTTTTGCCAGATGAAGAAGCAGCCGTCGATCTACTTGTCGGACGAGATTCGCTCAGAAAAATGAATATCCCTTTATGTCAAGTAAAAGAAATAAAATACAGTATTGAAAATTTATTGAAATTAAATAGAAATAAAGCCCAAATTCCAAATGAAACCGCCGTCAGTGCACTTGAATTGTTCAATTTATTTAAGAGTCCAGAGAAAAAGAAAACGGTGCCACAAGTAGGTAAAGAGAAAATGTGTAAGTCTGACCCTGAGATTAACTTGCTTAATGACCTTATGTCATGTGAAGAACGTATGGAATATTGCGTTAATTTAATTGAGCCAGAAGATTTAAATAACTTTGATGAACTTATTATGCTAATAAATACAACTGAGGCGGATGAATTGTTATCAGATTTAATTGACATTGACAAACAATTAGATAAAAGAGAAGCAGATGCTTTGAGGTCTACCATCGACAAGAGTTACGTTAAACTGCTTGACAAAGAAAAAAAATTGACAGCGTATTCTATGAAAATAAAATTGACCAGTGATGCACCAGTGTACAGTAGCCCACGCCGATTGTCTTTTAAAGAAAAA